TATTACTTAAAAAATATTTTATGTTTTATATTATAAAGTAATTTATTTATTTTTTTGTTTTTATATTTTGTTAATTCTTTTTTATAAATATTTTATTTGAAATATTAAATAGAAATTATTAATGGAATAATCTATATTAATATACTGTATTATATTAATATAATATACTAATATATTATATTTTTTATGTACATTAGTTGACATATTAGGAAAAACTGTATTTTTTTGGTTATTTGGACCGATTTGGTCGACATTTCCGAAATATAGGAAATGTTGACCGACATAATGTAATTTGGCGAGCCTCGACATCAACATATGTCGATGGGCGACATTAGCGACATTTGGCGACGTTTGAAACCATGATCATTGGATAACAAGTGGTGCTCTCAGATTCAAATCTATATTTTTTTATTTATTTTCTCAAGAAAAAAAAAGGATATGAATATGAGAGCACCACTTGTGCAAGAAAATGCCAAATGTGAGGTCCATATGTAGTTTACCCTTCCAAGGTCCTATATTTTTTTAAGGCCAACTTTGTTGTAATGGGGGGGGGGGGTGCTTCCATGTGGGCTTCACCCTTTACTCATCTTGTCTGTACTTTTGTAAGTTATGCATATATATCTTTATTCATCAACATATACTGTTGTAAGTTATGCACACTTACAGTATAAAATGTTGCGCCCTATGACCACGGTACACTGGGAGAGAAAAAACTGATTATATATATGCTTTCTGTTAATTTCTTTAGATTTTTTTTTTAAATTGATTTGATTGCTTTCACTCTAAAAATTTTGATAAAAATGAAATAAGACACTTGTTAATAGAGATATATGTTGATGTTATGAAATTAATATAAACAAGTGTTATGTAATTCATAGTTATCAAGGCGACACCTAGGCGGGTGCCTTTGGAGACTCGCCTTACCTAATCATCATGCAGTTTTGTACATTGTGTTATAAAATACTTTTATATTCCTAATTTTTTGAGATTATAATTATAAAATAGACATTATTAAACTAAAATATTCATTTTGTGTGTTTATATACTAATTTCTTTTTGTTATTTTCTTATTTGTGGGGTATAATCAACACAAGCATTGCTAAATGTTGTATTTTCTTCTTCTTTTCCTATAACAAAATAGGGGTTCAACACCCATATTTTTTGGATTTTCTTTTCTTTCTACCTTTTCTTATGAATATGTTGATTTTGTATACTTCAAGATGAAGTTTATAATTTTCTTATGAAAATTTTATATAATTATTAAGGAAATATGGTTATGGAACCTAGGGAACCACCCTAGGATATATGTTTTGAACTTGAAAAAAAATCCATCGCCTTGTGACTAGGTGGCAAGGTGCTCCCCCTTCACCTAGCCTCACCTTGGCACTTTGAAAACTGTTGTAAGGCTTATTTAATTGTTACTTTATAGTTACTATTAGTAGGTTGTCCTCTTAAGATACTGTCAGTTAGTTATTTTTCCTTTTTTCTTATTAGTTTGTTTCTAGGGTGTGCCGCTAGGGGTATACTTGTAATTTCTACTTTTTTATTAAGTTAATATAAATAGAGAACTGGCGGCAGCCAGAGATAGTTTTCTTCTCCTCTCAATCGTATCTCCCTTTCCTTCTCTTTCTCTCTCTCTCGTCTCCCACTCTCCATGAATGATTACATGGTATCAGAGCTAGGTTTTTGGACTGTAAAAGAATTTCGCTCCCTCCTGTTTTGAACCTGCTTCGCCGTTTTTTTCCTTCTTTAAATTCCTGGACGTGGAAGACAAAGAAACCCTAGCAGATTACTAGCGGCACCTCTTGTGGGTTCTTCCTTGGTCGTAATATCAAGGAAACCCTAGTTGAAGAAGGGCGATGCTGATAGAGACTTCTTTCATTCTCTGTTCGATGCTGTGAAGTCGATTTCTGGTTGGCACCTTCGTACAAATTGTTAGACAGTATGGGCTGTAGTCGAACTGACAGTAATGTCTGCCTTGGCTGTGTTGGATTGATTACCGGGCTAGTTTAATGACTGAACCATCTCAGAGTTGATTTCAGCAGTTTCTAGTTCTCTTCCTTACATCCCAGAAGTAAATTCCTTGAGGGTTGGTATTCTGCTTGTGACTGTTGTATAGTTGTGTGGGATTTGGACTGTTTTCAGTAGTATTCTATGGCAAATTATGAATCAACTTCATCGGGGGTTACACCGACCCGCAGCACAGCTGGTATGGGAGGTGAAAACATGATGTTTCCCATGCCAATTACCCCTTTAAATGGTCTAAACTACCTGGAGTGGGCTAAAAGTGTAAAACTCTATGTAACGACAAGGGGAAAAGCTGGTTACATAAATGGAAAGGTGAAAGAACCCAAGGGTGAGACAGCTGAACATGATAGGTGGGACCAAGAAAACAGTACGGTGATGTCTTGGCTCCTTGCAGCCATGGAACCTGATGTGAAGAAGAACTTTATGTGGGCAGACACCGCTAGTGAGATCTGGGAACAAGCCAAAACTACCTATTCTGAGCAAAGGCAATATGCCAAGGTTTACCAGTTACAAGCTGAATCTTCAACCTATAAACAGGGAAACCGTAGTTTGTCTTCATACTATTCAGCCCTTACCTCCATATGGAAAGAATTGGATCATTATCAGGCTATAGAGTGGAAACATGATGATGATGCTAAGGCCTACAGGATGCTGGTCTCTCAGCAACGTGTGTTTGCCTTCTTGTTGGGATCGAACCCTGCCTATGAATTTTTGAGGGTTCAGATCCTAAGAACCAAAGAGTTGTCGTCGGTTCACGAGGTATACTCCCTTGTTCAGTCGGAAGAAAGTAGGCGGAGTGTGATGGTTACAGCTGAGGGAGAGCAACAAGTTGCTTTGGCTGTGATGAATAATAACTCCACGGGAAACCCAAGTGGGTAGTCAAGAACCAGGAACATGGTAAAAGTCAAGGTCAGAAGAAGTTGAACACAGCACAGAATGCAACACATGTGGCAACCCAAGATACTCAGGTTGCCGGTACTACCTGGGACCACCTTAATAATTCTGACCCCAAGGAAGATATAATGAATTCCTTCGGAGAACACCCGGAGTCTTATAGTAGGGCTTTGCGACAAATGGATAGCTTAGTCACTGGTAGTCCCTCTACTTCATTTGCATCTACATTAGGTAATACAGCTTCCGCATTCCATGTCACTCCCACGGGTTCCCCTTGGATCATTGACTCAGGGGCCTCCAACCACATAACCGGTAAGCCAAACTTGTTTCAGACTTATAGCCTTTTGTCGGGAAGCGATAGAGTGAGACTTGCAGATGATTCATTTTCCTCCATTGCAGGCCAATGATCAATATCTCTTCCCCATGGCCTTAACCTGAATTGTGTATTGCATGTCCCTCAACTTTTTATAAATTTGCTTTCAATTAGTAGTATCACAAGCTCTTTAAACTGTAGTGTAACCTTTTTYCTGGCTCATGTGTTTTTYAGGACCTAACTTCTGGGAGGACGATTGGTAGAGGGAGCCTAGTGGATGGTCTCTACATTCTCGACAACAAAACTGGTCTCTTGGTGTCATCCTTAGAGTAAAGTCGTTTAGGTCATGTTTCTTTTGAAATAGTAAAGTCTTTGTTTCCAGTTTTATTTAAGTCATGTTCAGTGTTAGAGTTCCAGTGTCAAACATGTCAGTTGAGCAAACAATGTAGAACAACTTTTCACTCAAGTAATAAAAGATCAAATGTTCCTTTTCATGTTGTGTAGTCTGATGTATGGAGCCAACTTATGTATTCTCTGAGGACGGATATGAGTACTTTATCACATTGATCAATGATTACTCTCACTATACATAGGTATTTCCTATGCGTAGTAGAGACAAAGTTCCAAAGATTGTGAAAGACTTCTAGAGGATGGTATTTACGCAGTTTCATGTTGAAATACAGATCTTCCAATCCAACAATGCAAAAGAATACTTCCATGGTGAGCTCAATGAGTTCTTTGTCTCCCACGGATCTATTCATAGGATCTCCTGTGCCAGAACACCACAACAAAATGGTATTGCAGAAAGAAAAAACAGACACCTCTTTGAGGTAGCTCGCAGGATGATGTTACACATGAATGTTCCAAAAAGATTTTAGGTGGTTGCTATACTTGCAGTTGCTTATGTCATCAATCGCATGCCCTCTAAAGTGCTGAACCACATGGCCCCTCATCAATTATTGTACCCTTAGTCCCCTTTATTTTCCATTCCCATGAGAGTCTTTGGTTGTCGTGCCTTTGTCCATGATTTGTCTCCATCTCGAGGTAAGTTAGACCCTCGGTCCATTCCTTGTATCTTACTGGGGTATCCCTCCTCTCAAAAAGGGAATCGCTACTTTGATCCTGTTAGTCATAAGTTTTTTGTGTCTATGGATGTGTCATTCTTTGAGTTTGAGCCATTCTTCCCTACTTCTCCTCAGGGGGAGAGTAGTAGTGTGGAAGAGGAGAAGCAGGTTCAGGTATCTCTTCCTTCTATTTCGGACCTTACTCCCTTTCGTGTCTTCCAACGTACACGCCGTAGAGATCAACGATGTGATAGAGATGTGGAGCAGCCAAACATTGAGCAACCGACACCGTTAGACTCTTTGTTATTTTTGCGAGTTGGGCTAATGCCTCTTTGTTTTTTTTGCAGCTATAATGTCGGACGTGGATGCGCGTCGCCTCCTTTTGAATTCTCAGAGGGACAAGCGTAGGAAGAAGAGGTTTCGCCAAGATGAAGCATCTGCTTCTGGGGCCGCCGAGTTCGAGGCCGCGGACCTGTCCTTCGTTCCACTGCCGGAGGTCCCACCCACACCCCCTGAGGGAGTAGCCGCGAAAGGCAGTGAAGAAGAGGTCCCTCCTACGGGGCCGTACCCGCCATCTGCGCCAACTGATCCCTCTGCCATGCCAGTGTTTCCTACCGAGGGGCGAAATGAGAGCATCACCAACTATGTCTTGGCCATGCAGAGGAGTCGGGATTTGATCTTCCACGAGGAGATCGCGGAATGGTCGGGGATGCACCCTAGGCGGCTCCTGGGGCTGCCTACGACTCATTGCATGGTGGTAAGTGTTTGCTCTTTTTCTTCTCTTCTCCTTTTCCCCCCTTCTTTTTTTTTTAACTTACCCTGGCTTTCTATTGGCAGTTGATCTCTGCCCTCCATGCCATGGCTTGTCAGACGGCCGTTCACTCCAAGGATGCCCACGCCCAGAGGACGGAAGTACGGAGGCCAAGAAGGGGAGCGAGGCCCAAGGGCTACTTGTTCAAGACCAGGAAGCACGGATCTCCCGGCTGATCGAGGAGAACACTCATTACAGGGAGGAGTCCTCAAGGACGGCCGAGGATAGGGAGCGCCTTCGGCAGGAGGTTTGAAGTCTGAAGGCCACCCTCTACGAACGAGCTCAAACCTTCGACGCTGTCATGGAGGAAGAAAGGGTCAAGGTGGTGGACCGCTTTAAAGAGTCCCCGGAGTTCCGCGACCTTCAGGTCGAGTACGACACGAAGTCCTATCACTCGGGGTTCAAGCTCTGTCGGTATCTGGTCCAGAAGAAGTTTTTTGGCCTTTGCCTCGATGGCATCAGAATGAAGGGTTTGGCCCCGGAGATGGCGGATGCGGCGGAGGAGGAGGAGCCCGATTCCTTGGAGGAGACCGACGAGGACGTGGAAGTGGTGGACCCTTGATGTTGGGGTTGTTCTTCTCTCTCTTTTTTTTTTGAACTTTGAGTTTATGTTCCCGGGAGGCTGAGCCCTGTTTCCTTTTCTTTTTCCTTCCCTTTTTGGTGTATTTTCCCGGGCCGTTAGGCCTGGTTTTTTATAAAAAACTCAGTACTTAATGAAATATTTTTTTTTGCTTAGAATGGTTCCTTTCTGGTCCAAGCCATACGTATATAGGTTACCCGAGCTGTCGAGTTACCGAGCTGGCAACAAGCGAGGGTAACTGAAGTGGGAGTCATCCCGAATTACGCGAGTTACCTTGAACTATCAGGCTACCGGGCTTGGTAGCGAGTGGGGGTAACCTTGGTAAGATTTTTCCCAAGTTTCTTGCCTCCAGCTGTCCGTATAGAATCCGTCTGTTTGAACGTAGGTCCTCTAATGGACCCGAACAGTGATCGTTGCAGAGGTGATGTAGGTATCGTAGGGTTGATGCCCGAGCTATCTGCACTTTAGACTCTAGCAGGCGAGGGGGTGAGGTCCTACGCACTGTTTGGAGCCTCCGTTAGTTCGATTTCATAGCCCTCAGGCTCGGGGAGTGACTCGGAGTCCACTCCTAAGCTTTGCCCATGCCGTAGAGGCGACTAGGACTTAGTTGGTGCGGAGGTCCTTATCCGTTCGACATCTTGGACCTTAAGCTCTGGGAGCGGCTCAGTGTCCACTCTTAAGCTTTGGCCATGCCATAGAGGCGACTTGGACTTAGTTCGCCCATGCTGTAGAGGCGACTGAGACTCAGTTCGCTCACGCCGTAGAGGCGACTGGTACTCAGTTCGCCCATGTCGTAGAGGCGACTGGGACTTAGTTTACCCAAGTAGAGCGACTCGGTGTCCACTCTGGACCAACGGTCACAGGTAGTATTGCTTTAGATTGCTAATGTTCCAGACTCGAGGCACCTGCTTTCCTTCCAACGTTTTGAGCTCGTACGTGCCTTCCCCGAGTATTCATTTTACCCGGTAGGGACCTTCCCAGTTCGGCCCCAACTTACCCGCTCTGGGCTCAGGTACCATTACTTTCCAAAGGACGAGGTCGCCTACACGGAAGTGCCGCTTCTTGACCCGATTGTTATAGTACCGAGCCACCTTTTGCTGGTATGTTGCGGTCCGGATATACGCGAGGTCCCGTACCTCTTCTATTAGGTTGAGGTTGGTGCGGAGCTCGTCATCATTGGCCTCTTTGTTGTATGCTTCTAAGCGTAACATGGGTACTTCGATTTCAGCCAGGATCACCGCCTCCGTGCCATAGGTGAGGTTAAAGGGGGTTTCACCCGTGGAAGTCTTGGTAGTAGTTTGGTAGGCCCATAGTACACTGGGCAGTTCGTCCACCCATAACCCTTTAGCTCGGGCTAAGCGGGCCTTCAGTCCACGGAGTATAGCTCTGTTCGTGACTTCTGCTTGCCCGTCGCTTGAGGGTGCGCTACCGAGGTGAAGTTCTGCTGTATCCCCATCTCGGCGCACCAGTCTTGAAACTTAATATCTTCGAACTGCTTGCCATTTTCTAAGATGAGCTCTCGAGGTAGTCCGAAGCGGCATACTACATTCTTTCAGAAAAAGTTTTGTACCGTTCGAGCTATGATTGTCACTAGGGGTTCCACCTCTACCCATTTTGTTAAGTAATCCACTTCTACCACCAGGAATTTTCTCTATCCTGTCACTGGTGGGAATGGTTCAAGAAGGTCGATTCCCCACTATGCGAAGGGCCATGGGCTGGTGAGGTACTTCAGGTCGGCAGCGGGTTGGTGATGGATATTGGCGTGCCTCTGGCATTTATCACATTTCTTGACGAGCTCGAGTGCATCTGGGCGAGGGCCCTGCCCCCCAAGTGTCCGCCGCAAAGCCCTTCATGAGAGTCGTGGAAAACGAGCTCGGCCGCTGAGGGTCGTAAACAGCGCAAATAGGGGAGCGTGTAGGATCTTCTGTATAGCCGTTCATCTATAATGATGTACTTGGCTGCCTGTCGCTCTACCCTTCTAGCTGCATTGCGATCTTCAGGGAGGGTCCTGTACAGTAGGTAGCTCGCGAGTGGGTCAATCCAGGTCAGCTCTGCTTGTGTAATAGGAGCTACCTCCTCTGCCCCCCCGAGAATGCTAGGCCGGGGTAGGTTCTCTATAAAAATGGTCCTCATGGAATTGTTGCTTGTGCTGGCTAACCGGGATAATGCATCGACCTTAGCGTTCTCAGATCTTGGAATTTGCCTGATGAAGTACGATTAGAAGCCGCATAGGACCCCCTGGCCTTGGCAAGTTAGGCGGCCATTGTGGGGTCGTGAGCTTCGTAATCGCCGGTTACCTAGTTAACCACGAGCTGCGAGTCGCTGCAGATGACGATGTGCTTCGCTTGTACTTCGTTTGCTAGCATGAGTCTAGCTATCAGTGCTTCGTATTCCGCTTCATTGTTGGATGCCGCAAACTCGAAGCGAAGGGCATACTCCAGCTTCGCTCCACCTGGTCCGTATATGATGACTCCTTCCTTGCTAATTCAACAAACCGTCTACGTGGAGGATCCAATGCTCTTCATCCCAAGTTGACTTTGTTCTAATTGGGGTTGGTTCCGCACTTGTGGAGGCTTCCTTCACGTACTTGATTTCCATCAGTTCAGGTGTGGTAGTGCTGAAAGTGCATTCTGCTACGAAGTCGGCCAGGGCTTGGGCCTTAATTGTCCTTCGAGATTCGTACCGAATGTCGTATTCGTTGAGCTCTATAGCCCACTTCGTCAGCCTCCCAGATACCTTGGGCTTGAGCAGTACTTGCCTCAGAGGCTGATTGGTAAGGACAACAATCGTGTGGGCTTGGAAGTACGGCCGAAGTTTCTGAGCTGCCGTGATCAGCGCATATGCCAGTTTCTCGATCTCTAGGTACCTAGTCTCGGCATCCTGCAAAACTTTGCTCACGTAATAGATAGGTCGTTGGACCCGATCTACTTCTTTTATCAGTACCGAGCTGATTACCTTGTCACTTGCGGAGAGGTACGGTTTTAAAACATCGCCCTCCTCGGGTCGGGTTAAAACTGGGATGCTAGTCAGGTGATTTTTTAGTTCGTCAAAGGCAGACTGGCATTCCTCAGTCCACTCGAAGTCTTTACTTTTCTTAATGGCCTTGAAGAAAAGCAGGCAGCGATCTACCGACTTAGACATGAAGCGGCTCAGGGCAGCTATATGACCATTCAGCCTCTGAACCTCCTTCAACTTCGATACCACGTCGGCTAACTATGTAGCCCAGGAATTTTCCCGATGTGACACCGAAGACACACTTGTTCGGGTTTAGTTTCATATTATACTTGCGCAAGATTTCAAATTCGCATTGCAGGTCACTTATCAAATAGTTCAAAAGTCGGGTCTTGACGACCATGTTGTCTACATAACATTCTGAAGGGATGAGAGATCCAACATATAGATGGCCGAACCCTGCAGGAAGGTAGGGCGAAGTTTCAAAATTTTCTCTCTCCCATGTAGGAATCGCATTCCCTATTTTAGAAAAACTGCATTTTTCAAGGACCAATCTTGAACCAAGAACCGAACCAGATCTGAACCAAAACAGCAGGAGAGGGATATACCTGCTCCCACTAAGATGCAATATCTCCCAACAAAGATGCAATATCTCCAAAGAAGGTGTTCACGCCCAAAGAAAGACTCCAAAGACTGCTCCCACTAAAGATGACACAGTGAATGGTGGAGCAGAATCAACAGGGTCCGTCCAACGAACCGAATTCTTCAACAAGAATTCGATGGAGGCAGTGAGCACGACTTCTTATCAGCCTTTCTCCAAAGACTGGTATCAAGACACTTCTTGATCGCTCCTACAAAGGAAGGAGATCGAACTGGCTGTGGCGGCAACTGGAGGAAATCGCTGGGAGAAAATGGCGTAGTCACATTGTTGTCGTCTTCTCTCTGGATGTTCTGAGATCTTATCTCTGAGATTTCTGGGGATGCTGAGGATGATCTGAATGGTTCGCCCCCTTCCTCCTTTTATAGGCTTAAAGAAAGCTCCTAATCTCATTAGGAGTTTCCTAATCCAAATTTGTATTTGGATWAGGAGTTCTCTTTAARAGATAAGGATAAGYCCTTATCTTATCTGCAGATTAGATCAGCTCTCTCCTAATCTCATTAGGAGGTTTCCAGATCTGGACTCTCTGAGTGGATAGGGTAAGACCTTATCCTATCTGTTGATTTAATCTTATCTGCTTATTTAATCCTAGATCCACGCCCTTATTTAACTAGTCAAACTAGGCCTGTTCGAAATGGGCTTTAGGCCCAATAAGTCTAAGTGCTCAAACTTCTTCCAACCTGCTGCCCAATTGGGCTTCTTTGTATGGCATGGGACCCAAACATTGATCTACACATCAGCCATCAGCCCAGCCTTTGTTACAAGGCCTGGCTGAATTCACTGAAAAGACAGTGAACCCCCAGAAGCCCATCACATGGACTCCTAATGGGCCCAACACTTACACTAAGTGGTCCCTGGGTCAAACACCTTATTAAAACCCAGGGACTGTGGGCAAATGCAAGATTAGCCCATCAAGTATTACCCTCAATTGTCTTACACTTAACCTTTCAGCTTATAATGATCATACACTGCCCGACAAGAGGACCTCTCTCTCGGCTGCAAAGTACAGTGCTGCACTCTCTGTTCACATGGATCCCGGGAATTAAAACCTTTTGCAAACATTTTGAAACCATAATATATATATATGTATATCCATATATAAATATATTTTGCAAAACAAATTTCAACGATTGAAATCGACTGCCGGCAGATGAATTCTTAGACAAAGGGGTTGATCCTGTCACTATGATCACCCACTCAAATGAATTCTCAGACTGTCCCAACATACCCAGGTTTTGACCCCCGCTAAGGATCTCACTAATTGGTTTATCAAAAACAACCCAATCCGACACCTAGTGCAGTATCATAATCGAGTCTAGGGGTCAGGTGTAACTTTCTAGTTTTACCCACTAATCTCCAAAGTCCATGGCAATACTGGAAATCTGGTCCGGTTCAGGGTTTCAAGTAAACCTACACTACATGTACCTCGGGTCTCACCCTGGCAGCTGAGACAGGCCTCCCCAACACTTGGCGGCACATCAGTGTCAGCCTTAGCAAGATAAATCTCCCCAGACTTATCCAATGGCTATGAGCATTCTAAACTAACATGAGTCTCATTATGTATTCAGTTTAAGGGTAATACACAGAAACACACCACAATAATATGAATCAAATATGTACTTTATTCATTTACAATAAATGTCATAATGCACATCAATCTGATTGGAGCTAAGGGCATACACTATCTAACACATTCAACTTTGTCGCCAATCAGTGGCTCAAAAATTCGATTTACAAGTCTCTGGTAGGTCGCCCCGGCATTTTTCAGCCCGAAGGGTATGACCTTATAGCAGTACAGGCCTAGTTGGGTAATGAAGGCCGTTTTCTCTTCGTCGACAGGGTCCATCTTGATCTGGTTGTAGCCCGAGTACGTGTAGGAAACTCAGCAACTCATGCCCTGAGGTCGCGTCCACCAGACGGTCGATTTTGGGGAGCGAAAAACAGTCCTTTGGGCAAACCCGATTTAGGTCGGTATAGTCAACGCACATGCGCCATTTACCGTTGGCCTTTTTAACTAGAACGGGGTTAGCCACCCAGCTCGGGTAATGGGCCTCCCTGATGAAATCGGCTGCGAGAAGTTTTCTGACCTCCTCGTCGACTATCTTCCAACGCTCCGGGGTGAGGTTGCATTTCTTTTGCCTAACGGGCCTGACTAGGGGATCAGTATTTAGCTTGTGAGAAATTATTTTCGAGTCTATGCTGGGCATTTCTGCCATGGACCATGCAAATATGTCTAAATTTTGGAGTAGGAAACTTACCAGCCTAGTTCGAAGGGGTTCCACTACTATTGCTCCGATCTGGAGGGTCTTGGTCGGGTCTTCCTTTGAGGTCGGGAAGGAGACCGTTTCCTCGATCGGCGTGGCTTGTTCTTCAGGGTATTCCCTGGGCCGCTAGAGCTCAGCACCTTCCGTTAGCTTGGTTTTCCCTTTGAGGGCCACCACATAACACCTTCGGGACTCGAGTTGATCACCTCGGGACTCGAGTTGATCACCTCGGGCTACTCCTATGCCAAAGTCAGTGGGGAACTTCATCGTCAGGTAGTAGGTGGACACCACGGCGCGAAGCGTGTGGGTGATGGGCCTTCCTATAAGGGTGATTATGGGGAAGGTGTGGCTACTACCAGGAAGGTGTGCTTAAATCTTGCGACGTTGGGCCACGTCCTGATCTCTACAGGCAATGAGATTCGGCCGAGGGGCCTAACTTCCTCTCCGCTGAA